CCAGGTTTATAAACTAATATCTCGTAGTTAATTTAGGTCTCAATATTAGAAGCATCAGAAATTTAACAGGGCTCTAAAAACATGTTAAAATCTTATTATAGACAAAATGACCCAAAAGAAGTTAACATTAGGCCCTTTAACCATGCCTCACATGTCTTGGGAATTACCAGTTTACAACACCACATCAGAACTGTTGGTTTACATGAACCAGCATTTAAATGCTTTTAATGTCCTTGGTGCTTTGAAGAACTGTATAAATTATTGGGCAAAAGAAGAACATTCCCTGCTAAAGTTGCTTCTTCCAGCCCACAGATTGGTGTCTCCTCCTGTGTTGTATGTTAGGCAATGGTTGCTGAAAAACAGTTTATTAAATAGGACACATTTATGGATGGCCAACTTTGCATGTTTATATATGTAACATTTAATTCTTGTGATACTTAGAGGTAGATTTTGCTCCTATGTTGACATGAGCTCACTGAGAAACACGGAAGGTGAACTCTCTCAAGGTTACACAGCTAATAAGCAATAGGGCCCAGATCTGCCCTTGTGTTCCAGGACAGTCATGTCTACAGAGAGAAACCCTGTCTCGGAAAACAAACAAACCAATAAACAAATACAAATAAAGTAAAACCCTGACAGCCACTAGGGAAAACTTACTGAGGGTTTCTGAAAGTGCTACAATGAAAGCTTTAGTTTCAAACTTTCGGGCCATCCTTGTGTTTTGGTGGCTCAGTGGAGAGTTGAGACTCTTGAAAGAGTGTTGTACATTTTAATTGGGTGTGTGAAAACAGTGAGCTTGGGGGCTTGCCCAAGCTTTCTTCCTCGGTTCATCCAAGAAGCAGATGTGTTATTTCTGGTCCTCGTCGTTAAGCTGCCGTTCAGGAATTACAGCGATCTCTGGAACAAGAGTGACAGTCTGTTGTTTTCGGGCACGTAAGCACAACACACTAGTGATGAACTCAGAGCCACCAGTAATTAGTGGGTATCCCATTAAGCAGAGAAACGAGAGCACTTCCCCTTGCTTCTCTCCCTCACTTTCCGTGTGACTCCCATTCTCTGCCTGCTGTATGCGTCTGGGTCTGCTCCTGCCTGGAGGCGACATGGGAGTCCATCACTGAGTGTGTGTGTGTCTGTGTCTGTGTGTGTGTGTGTGTCTGTCTGTGTGTGTGTCTGTGTCTGTCTGTCTGAATGTGTCTGTCCTAAAAGGGGGGCTTTGCTCTGCATTTACGGAACAGCACAGAAGACACCCTGTGAGGGACACTTTACAGAAATCTTTAGCAGAGTTTTACAAGGGATTGACCCCAGCTGACTTATATCATGGACATCCATTTAAAGACTGCTTTCAGCATGTTTGCTGTTTGCAGCAAATAGTTATCATAAGACACATGTTGCTCAGAGTCAGGGCCATGGGATGGTACGTATAACTAAGATTACGGCTGTGCATTAGCTGGGATTGTAAAAGTTCATTACAGGGAAATCCACGGCAGTAAGTTGATTGTTACATTTTTCTCTTAAACATAGGCTAAACCAACAGGCGGGGTGCACAGTAGGACAGCAGTTTTAAGCCTTAAGTGACTTTAAGGTGTATTTTTAACTCTGGCTGTGAGGTCCAGCAAAAGTTCCAGTCTGTCAGAATGGAAGAGATGTTTTCACAATATTGCATTACCACAGCAGGGCTGGACTCAATGAGTAGTTCTAGTCCCTCTGGAATGGAGTCAGCTTTGTTAGATTTTCTCTTCTTTATTTAAATAAAGTACAACCATAATTGATCTAGATGACATTGAATGGCCAGTTACTTTCAACTGGAGCTAAGCAGGCTTGACAGTTCCTGTGAAGCAGAGTGGTTCTAGATAACTGTGGTGTACGGAGACGGTGGCGACCAGCACACGGAACCTAGAACAGAGAGTGGTTCTAGATAACTGTGGTGTACAGAGACACGGTGACAACAGGCACATGGAACCTAGCACAGAGAGTGGTTCTAGATAAATGTGGTGTATGGAGACAATGATGACAGGCATGTGGAACCTAGAACAGAGAGTGGTTCTAGATAACTGTGGTGTACAGAGACCGTGATGACAGCCACATGGAACCTAGAACTGTAAATTTCATCCTGCTTTAAAGCTGCTGTGGCATAATGAAATGGTCGTCCTTACACCAGCAGCACTAACAATGGAAAGCAATTAAGGAATTAAGACAATACAGCTTCACGGTGCAGACTCTTAAACATCTCAGGTGCGCAAGTATGTGCAAGTGTGTGTATGTGTTTGCTTGCACATGTGTGTTTGCATGCATGCAGGTGTATGCAAGTGTATGCATGCTTGCACATGTGTGTTTGCAGATGTATGTGCAAGTATGTGCGTGTGCTTGTACATGCATGTGTGTGCATGCATTTGTGTGTTCAAGTGTGTATGTCTATGTGTGCTTGCACACCTGTATGTTTGAATGCATGTGTGTGTGTTTGTGTGTGCTTGCACATATGTGTGCATGCATGTATGCATGTGTATGTGCTCATTTGAAAATATGTGTGTGTGCTTGCATATGTGTATGTGTTCCTGCCCATCTATGTGTATGCACACATGCGTGTGCATGTGCGTGCATGGCTCTGTGTACATTTTAAGTGTCTTATGTGTACTGAAATGAAACGTAAGAGAATTTCTCCCACAGCTGAGTGTCCAAAGATACCATTTTCCAGTTATGAAGCTATTTATAAAAGTGTGAAAACAACTGGGCTGGAAGTTGGCTCAGCAGTTAAAAGTGCTCACAGCTCTCCCAGGGGATTTGGGTGTGTTCCTAGTACACGCTTCATGACTCACAACACCAGTAGTTCCAGTTCCAGGAAATTGACACCATCTTCTAACATCCGCGGGCATCTACATGTACATGGTTCACATAAGCTTACTCAGGCACACATGGGGTGCATAAGTACTAGCATACAATTTTAAGTGCAAGACGCTTGCTTTATTTTCTAGTTTGGGAGAATATTGTAAATTTCTGAGGTTTTTGTTTCCTTTTGGTTTGCTTTGGGGGATTCATTTGTTTGTTGGCTGTGCTGGACAGTGAAGCCACGGCTGTAGTCACTGTGGATGCTACACAAGAATTTTACCACTGAGCTACATTCCCAGACTGTTATTTTTTAATAGAATAATTTAATTTTGGTTTATAATGGTCATTTGGCAGAAGGATTTTATCTCTTTGCTTTCTTAGATAGGGTCTGGCTATGTTGTCCACATTAGCTCTGAACTGCTGGCTTAAGCTGGCTTCCTGACCCCTGAATAACTAGGATTACACCAGTGCAATGCCACACCTGGCTTGGCAGAACTTTAAGATAAGAAGTTAAGTGCTCTCGAAGGATTCATACAAGCCTAATATGAAACAGTTACAACTTAAAATTTGGAACGTAAGTGGTTAAAATGTGAGAGCTGCTCCCAGCAACCGTGAACGGGGTATGTGCAGCACCGGTGGGCGTCCCCGCAGCCAGCCCAGGCCTCGCCCTGTGCATCACCCCTTTGTTCTGCATGGGACTCAGAATGTGGAATCGGTTGCACAGCTTCTGAATTTAAACTAAATTAAAGGGGGTTTGGATTTTACTTCCCAATGAAGTCACAAAAGGTTTTTCTGATAAGTAGGGGTTCTCAAGAAGATTTGAAAGATTCCTGGCAACGTTAATGACATTTATTTAAGGAAGGTTTAGTAGAATGGGAATTTGAATAAATGAAACCATGGAAATTCTTGGCTTCTTATTAAAGGGGATAAAGCATTTTGCAAGTTTGACAGATTGAGAATAGTTTATTTTGTGCTTTTTATACCCACGATACATTTTTTAAGCACATTAGTTATTTGCTACAATCTGGTCACGGATAAGTAGTTTCTTACCTGAAAGTGTCCCGTCATCGACTGGGTCCCTGTTGACAGTATGGAGGCTCTAAGGACGCACGTTCAGGTGTCATGCATTGCTAGCCAACGGCCTTCCTTACATTTCCAGAAAGGCTGAGCTTTATCATCGTTAAAAAAGCCACTGAGGCAGCAGGCAGGGGCGGGAGGCAGAGGAAGAGGCAGGCCGGTCTCCATGAGTTCAAAGTCAGGTTGGTCTACAGGGCGAGTTCTGGGACAGTCAGGCCTGTTACACAGAGAAACCCTGTCTCAAAAACAGAACAAGCCGGGCGGTGGTGGCGCACGCCTTTAATCCCAGCACTCAGGAGGCAGAGGCAGGCGGATCTCTGTGAGTTCGAGGCCAGGCTGGACAGATAGCCTCCAAAACAATATAGAGAAACCTTGTCTCGTAAAAACAAAACAAACAAAAAACCAGAACAAAAGCCATCCAGGCAGTTTGGTTTTGAGTAAAAAGAATGAACATGACAAACTGATGTCTGGTCTCTACTGGTTGTTCCATTTGTTAAACTCAGCCTTAGAGTTTGACGAAGACACGAAAACAAGCAGCTTACCGTCAGTGATTAGCCAGAAACTTTGTGTTAATAGTTCAGTTAAGCCCAATAAATCCCCGTGCAGTGGCACATGCCTTTTTGGTATTTTGAGACAGTCTCACCGTGTAGATGCCCAGCTTTGAACTCGTGACTCCCTCTTCCTCCGCTTCTGGAGCTTATCTTACTGGTGTGGGCCCCCACAGCCTGCATGGTGCATGCAGGTGGATCTCTGTGAGTTCAAAACCAGCCTGAACTATAAAGTGAGTTCCAAGACAGTCAGGGCAACACAGAGAAACTCTGTTATGGGGGAAGCGGGGGAAAGCTCTTTTAATTAAAAAATAATAAGTTTAATCTCTTTAAATAAAAAAAAAGAAGTCTGCTTTTTCTAGCTCTTTGTCCCATGCCACGGCGGTAGATTAGCAGCGGGAGTCTGTCGGGTTATAGACCACTATGGTTCCTTACTGTTTGCGCGGAGGCCCTGTCTGAGTGAAGAGCAGAGGTGAAATCACACTCTAGAAGGTGAACACGGCAGAGACAAGGAATAACGCCTTTGGACTGTCTTTCCCTTTCCCTCTTGAGATAAAGACACGGATATGAGCATGAAGGAGACGACGGATGACTTTGGTCCGCAGGACACTTTGAACAGCGAATCAGATCTCTTTGCTTCAGCAGCAGAGGTAAGATAAGTTATGTCCATGGTGAGGGAGCTTTGTCACTGCACTCTATTTCAGTTGTGTGTGTGTGTGCGCGCGCGTGTGTGTGTGCATGTGTCTGCATGTGCATGCATGTGTGTCTGCATGTCTGCATGTGTGTGCATGCGTATATGTGCGTGTGTGTGCACGTGCGTGTGTGTGCGCCTGCATGTGTCTGCGTGTGCCTGTGTGCACATGTGTGTGTCTGTGCATGCATGTGTCTGTGTGCGAGTGCGTGTGTATCTGCATGTGTGTGCGTGCATATGTGTGCATGTGTGTGCACATGCATGTGTCTGTGTGTGTGCATGTGTCTGTGTGTATGTGCACGTGCATGTGTGCGTGTTTTACCTGCAAGTATGGCTCTACACCACATGTGTGCCTGGTGCCCACAGAGGCCAGGAGAGGCATCATTTGCTCTGGAACTGAGGTCACAGGTGGTTTTTAGCCACCGTCTGGTGGCAGGAGCCAGTGCAAGAGCAGCAGTGCTCATAGCCCTGAGTCATCCCTGTAACCCTGCCTGTGCTCATCACCACTGAGTCATCCCTGTAACCCTCATGGTGCTCATCACCACTGAGTCATCCCTGGAACCCTCATGGTGCTCATCACCACTGAGTCATCCCTGTAGCCCTCCCGGTGCTCATAGCCCTGAGTCATCCCTGTAACCCTGCCTGTGCTCATCACCACTGAGTCATCCCTGTAACCCTCATGGTGCTCATCACCACTGAGTCATCCCTGTAACCTGTGCTCATCACCACTGAGTCATCCCTGTAACCCTCCCGGTGCTCATCACCACTGAGTCATCCCTGGAACCTGTGCTCATCACCACTGAGTCATCCCTGTAACCCTGCCTGTGCTCATCACCACCGAGTCATCCCTGTAACCCTCCTGTGCTCATCACCACTGAGTCATCCCTGTAACCCCCCTGGTGCTCATCACCACTGAGTCATCCCTGTAACCCTCATGGTGCTCATCACCACTGAGTCATCCCTGTAACCCTCATGGTGCTCATCACCACTGAGTCATCCCTGTAACCCTCCTGGTGCTCATCACCACTGAGTCATCCCTGTAACCCTCCTGGTGCTCATCACCACTGAGCCATCCCTGTAACCCTCCTGTGCTCATCACCACTGAGCCATCCCTGTAACCTGTGCTCATCACCACTGAGTCATCCCTGTAACCCTCCTGGTGCTCATCACCACTGAGTCATCCCTGTAACCCTCCTGGTGCTCATCACCACTGAGCCATCCCTGTAACCCTCCTGTGCTCATCACCACTGAGCCATCCCTGTAACCTGTGCTCATCACCACTGAGTCATCCCTGTAACCCTCCTGTGCTCATCACCACTGAGTCATCCCTGTAACCCTCATGGTGCTCATCACCACTGAGTCATCCCTGGAACCTGTGCTCATCACCACTGAGTCATCCCTGTAACCCTCCTGTGCTCATCACCACTGAGTCATCCCTGTAACCTGTGCTCATCACCACTGAGTCATCCCTGGAACCTGTGCTCATCACCACTGAGTCATCCCTGTAACCCTGCCTGTGCTCATCACCACTGAGTCATCCCTGTAACCTGTGCTCATCACCACTGAGTCATCCCTGTAACCTCCCGGTGCTCATCACCACTGAGTCATCCCTGTAACCCTCCCGGTGCTCATCACCACTGAGTCATCCCTGTAACCCTCCCGGTGCTCATCACCACTGAGTCATCCCTGTAACCCTCATGGTGCTCATCACCACTGAGTCATCCCTGTAACCTGTGCTCATCACCACTGAGTCATCCCTGTAACCTCCCGGTGCTCATCACCACTGAGTCATCCCTGTAACCTTCCTGTGCTCATCACCACTGAGTCATCCCTGTAACCTCCCGGTGCTCATCACCACTGAGTCATCCCTGTAACCCTCATGGTGCTCATCACCACTGAGTCATCCCTGTAACCCTCCGGTGCTCATCACCACTGAGTCATCCCTGTAACCTGTGCTCATCACCACTGAGTCATCCCTGTAACCCTCCTGTGCTCATCACCACTGAGTCATCCCTGTAACCTGTGCTCATCACCACTGAGTCATCCCTGTAACCCTCCCGGTGCTCATCACCACTGAGTCATCCCTGTAACCCTCCCGGTGCTCATCACCACTGAGTCATCCCTGTAACCCTCATGGTGCTCATCACCACTGAGTCATCCCTGTAACCCTCCTGGTGCTCATCACCACTGAGTCATCCCTGTAACCCTCCTGGTGCTCATCACCACTGAGTCATCCCTGTAACCTGTGCTCATCACCACTGAGTCATCCCTGTAACCCTCCTGTGCTCATCACCACTGAGTCATCCCTGTAACCTCCCGGTGCTCATCACCACTGAGTCATCCCTGTAACCTCCCGGTGCTCATCACCACTGAGTCATCCCTGTAACCCTCATGGTGCTCATCACCACTGAGTCATCCCTGTAACCTCCCGGTGCTCATCACCACTGAGTCATCCCTGTAACCCTCATGGTGCTCATCACCACTGAGTCATCCCTGTAACCCTCATGGTGCTCATCACCACTGAGCCATCCCTGTAACCCTCCCGGTGCTCATCACCACTGAGTCATCCCTGTAACCCTCCTGTGCTCATCACCACTGAGTCATCCCTGTAACCTGTGCTCATCACCACTGAGTCATCCCTGGAACCCTCCTGGTGCTCATCACCACTGAGTCATCCCTGTAACCCTCCCGGTGCTCATCACCACTGAGTCATCCCTGTAACCCTCCTGTGCTCATCACCACTGAGTCATCCCTGTAACCTGTGCTCATCACCACTGAGTCATCCCTGTAACCCTCCTGTGCTCATCACCACTGAGTCATCCCTGTAACCCTCATGGTGCTCATCACCACTGAGTCATCCCTGTAACCCTCCCGGTGCTCATCACCACTGAGTCATCCCTGTAACCCTCATGGTGCTCATCACCACTGAGTCATCCCTGTAACCCTCCTGTGCTCATCACCACTGAGTCATCCCTGTAACCTGTGCTCATCACCACTGAGTCATCCCTGTAACCCTCCCGGTGCTCATCACCACTGAGTCATCCCTGTAACCCTCCCGGTGCTCATCACCACTGAGTCATCCCTGTAACCCTCATGGTGCTCATCACCACTGAGTCATCCCTGGAACCCTCATGGTGCTCATCACCACTGAGTCATCCCTGTAACCCTCATGGTGCTCATCACCACTGAGTCATCCCTGTAACCTGTGCTCATCACCACTGAGCCATCCCTGGAACCCTCCTGTGCTCATCACCACTGAGCCATCCCTGGAACCCTGCCAGTGTGGTTTTAGTTTTCACGTTTGCTTGAGACAGGGTTTTGCTATAGCCCGCACTGGCCTTGAACTCACAATTCTCCTTCCCCAGCCTCCTGAGACTGGAAGGAAGTGTGAACCCTAACAACGTTTTCTTTCTAGGGGCTGGAGAGATGGCTCAGCCATTAAGACCACTGGCTGCTCTCCCTGAAGACTCAGATTCTATTCCCAGCATTCACAGGGGCACATATCCTTGGAAAGTTTGAGGTCAGCCTGGGATAGTAAAATTCTGTCACATAGCAACCAACCAAATATGTATCTTTATGGAGATACTACAAAATGTACTCTAGTCCCAGGGAATTCAACACCTTCTTCTGGCCTCTGTGGGCACCAGGGGCGTACATGATGCACATGTAGACAGAGTACCCACAATACAATTTTAAAACATCTTTGTTTAATTCCTTTCTAATATGTAACTTGAAAATACTTTTTAGTTTGGAAACATCTTAGTGGTATAATTCCTGTCCACCACACACCAGTGCTGGGCCAGAACTTATCACACAGAGAATATCTCTTCAGGTGTTCAGGTGCATTTTAATTTACTGTTTAGATTATAAAGGTTTAATACATTTTTAACTTCCTATAGGAAAAAATGCATGCATATATGTAAGAAGGAGTCAATGTTTAAGAAATATTTTAGCACTCCTTCTAAGGTATAAGTTATGAACTCTTTTGGAATATGAGTGTTACAAGATAAATTCTTTTGTAAGAAATGCAGCTGGGCATGAGGCAGGCAAATCTGATTTTGATCCTAGCCTGGTCTACAGATGGAGTTCCAGGCCAGCCAGAGCTCCATAGTGAGATCCTACTTCAGGGGAAGAAAAAAAAAAAAAGGAAAGAAAGAAGGAAGGAAGGAAGGAAGGAAGGAAGGAAGGAAGGAAGGAAGGAAGGAAGGTTGGATCAGAATCCTGAGAAGCTAAACAGTGTTTGATAACTTGATAGATTTTTTTTTAGAATGAACAGATTTTTTTGCTTGTTTAGAATAAAGCAATTACTGCAGTAAGCTTCTCTTTAAACTAGACCGATCATATGCCCAAGTGATCGACAACATTTTCCTATACGTAAAATTTTCTGTGCATATATTTAGTTCATTTCCGATATAGCTGAAAATTCTTTTGGAGAAATACAGTGATACCTGTGTTGTGGGATATATTTGATCACCTGTGAACCCTGAGTCTGCAGTTGTGTTAATTAAGTTGGGTCAGGAGGTGGAGCCAGCAACTGGTTGACAGATAGTCAGCGGGATTCTGGAAGGTGGAGAGATAGAGAGAGGCTCACAGGAAGTAGCGGGGGAGGGGAGGGTGCGACACTTGGAGCACGGTGGTCCTTTTTGTCCATGGTCCAGAGTGTCAGAAGAAGCGCTCTCTTTCTGTGATGCAGCGAAGGGGCAAGGTGCGCTAGTGGCTCCTCAGTTCTCTGAGCTAGCAGGTTTTCACCCCAGCCTCTGACTCCCAAGTCTTACTGATAAATAGAACAATATTTAGTTAAAAGCTACATTTGGGGGCGTTGGTGGCGCACGCCTTTAATCCTAGCACTCGGGGCGCAGAGGCAGGCGGATCTCTGAGTTTGAGGCCAGCCTGGTCTACAGAGCGAGTCCCAGGACAGCCTCCAAAACAATACAGAGAAACCCTGTCTCGAAAAAACAAAAACAAAAAAACAAAACAAAATAAAAAACAAACAACAAAAAACCCTACATTTGGTGGCAGCAGCAGGAGACGGATCTGGCAAGATAGAAAAGTCCTGCGGGGCCACTGTGCAGGTAACCGCAGAGCCACAGTTACCGGCTGAAGCAGCGATAGATTCAGGACCAGCTGCTCTGATGGTGGAAGGAAGAGGCAGGAGGAGCAGGAGTTCAAAGCCATTCTCGGAAAGTCTGGGGTCAGCCTGGGATAGTGGAACTCTGTCTCTTAACAGCCAATGGCTTTATGGAGATACCATAAAATATATTCTTGAACATACACAACTTGGTGGGGTTTTTTTATTCCAATTTTTTTTTTAAAAAATTAAGGCAAGGTGTTTCTATGTAGTCTAGACTGACCCCAAACTGAGAGTTGTAGCATGAATCATAAAACCCCAGAGACAAATATTGGGGCTCAAGCTGAAGATCACAAAAGCTAAGCAGCCAGCCACTAGAGAGTTGTCACCTCTTCCAAGGCTGGGCGACCCCGCCCTCAGGGTGACCGCGGACTGAGCACCCTGCGCTCCTGCCTGCTGTCTTCCTCTCCCGTGCTGCGCAGCTACGCTCCTCTGTGGCTAACACAAACTGCCGAGAGACTTAACTGCCACCTTCCCCATCACCTCAGGTGTGAGCATGCAAACACATGGGTGTCAGGGGATGGCTTGAGGAAGCTGGTTCTCTCCTTCCATGGTCCTCCTGGGGCTGGAACTCAGGTCACCAGGCTTTATGCAAGTTCCTTTACCCGCGAGCCACCTCTCTGGCCCTAAGCCACACGTGTGTATGGTACCTTTACCCACGAGCCACCTCTCTGGTCCTCAGCCACACGTGTGTATTAGCCTGGGTGTTGCTGGTGCCGTGGCAGCGCCCGTGGCATTTAGATAAGACTGAGAGATGGCCTATTCTGATGGAGAGTGCAAGGTCTGAGCCTGGAGGGATGACTTAACGAAGTGCCTTCTGCACCAGTGTGAAGGTCTGAGTTCCAGCCCCAGGACCGTGTCACGAACCGGGTGCATGTGTTAGCGCCCGTAAGCCCAGAATTTGGCTGTTAGAAGCAGGAAGGTCCCTGGGGCTTGCTGGTAGCCAGTCTTGCTACATGAGCAATTCTAGGTTTAGTGAAAGACCCTGTGTTTAAAAATAAGGGGGAATGGTCAAGATAGATGCCGTGGTAGCCTTCAGCCTCCCCATGCCCACGCAGCACAAAGAGCCTACGTCTGGGGTTAAGTTTAGTGATTTACTCTTAGGACTTGAAGAACATCCCCTGCTGCTGTAAATCTCCGCTCCTTTGCCTGTATGCTGCTAAGGCGTCTTACCCAACTTACGATCCAATGTAAGGGATAAATGAGGTCATGGACTCTGTAGACTGTAACGCTGCACCAGCTGCGCGTGAATGCAGGGCGCTTCTGGCGCTCACGAGTGCAGGGGCCAGGGCTGCAGCTCCCATCTGCACCAGGCCCGAGATCTGATCCCAGGCAGGAGGAAGAAGGCTGAGAAAAGCGTCAACGACTATATTTTGGCATAAATTGTCAGAGGCAAAAATTCCAGAGCTCTGAGGAGACTTTGAAAGTCCACACAGCATTTATTCAGACAATAGCAGAGTCTTCAGAGCAGGTGTCATTCTTCACTCAGTTCTGTCTCTGCAGAAGTCTAAAAACCAAGTCTTGTAATATAGTCACCACACCATCTTTTCGGCCACCACAGGAAAGAACTTAATGGGGCTGGCACTTTCCAAAAGTTCTGTCCCTCGAGAATAGTCAGAATTTGGCCTATTTGGCACTTCTAAAAGCTGAATTCTCAGCATTTGTCTTTTTGTTTAGGTTTAGCTTTTTTTTTGTGGTTTTGTTTTGTTTTGTTTTGTTTTAGGCAGGTCTCCACATATAGCCCTGGCTGTCCTGGAACTCCCTAAGTAGATCAGGCTGGCCTTGAACTCACAGAGATCTGCCATCCTCAAAGGCACCAAAATCATATGAAGACAGTAAAACAAACAAAAAAAATGTTTACAGATTACATATCTAATAAACAAATGCTTGCATTTCTGCTATATAAGGAACTCTCACAATGAAATACTAAATAGGTAAGTAGCCTAATGTAAAAATGGGCAAGTTGAGTAGAAATTGAAAGACATTTCTCCAGAGAGAATATACAAATGGTGGATAAGATGGGAAATTGTTGAATACTGTCAGTCATTTTGGAATGCAGATCAGTGGTCACCTGCGGTCATTGTCACGCAAAGGTAGAAAAGCAGTTGTTAAGAAAGGCTGTGTGAACTTGCTGGCGGCCGCGGAACAAGAACATCCGCTTTGCGAAACAGTCTGGCGTTTCCTCAAGCATGCGTGTTTTTACACTTGTACACAGATATTCATAGCAGCCTCTTCATGACCCCAGAAAATGGAAAAACCCCAAGCCATCACTTAGGAATGCATAAACAAAATGTGGTGTGTCCATTTATCATTGTGTTTTTAAAGATTTATGTACATATGTTCATGTGTATGTGTGAATAACCTGTATGTATGTATGCATGCAGGCATGCATGTATGTGTGTAAGTATGCATGCATATATGCATGCATGCATGTTTGTATGTAAGTGTGCGTGTACGTATGAATTCATATATGTATGTGTGTATGCATGTGTGTATGTATGTAAGTATGCATGTTGTGTGTGTACCACATGCTGCTCGGTGCCCATGGAGACCAGAAGAGAGCAGTGGATCCTGTGGAGGCGCAGGTGGTTGTGGCCCACCTGGTGAGGGACTGTTATGATAAAGCCGGAAGGGGATCCTGTCTGGGGAGCCACGGTGGATTCCATGACAGGCGAGGGTGCCCGAGGCAGATGGACAAACACGCCAGGCAGACAGAGCTTAGTGAGAGGTTTTATCAGAAAAGGGAGGGAGGGGGAAGGAAAGAGAAAAGAGGTAAAGAGACACAGAGACAGAGGGAGGACAGAAGAGGAGAGGGAGGCAGGAAAAGGCCTGTGTGCCCCAGGGGAACCGCAGGGAAGAGCCTGTAAGTGGGCGGGGATCCGTTTTTAAAGGGGTCCTTTGCACCTGTGTGAGACTACACAATCATGGGACCCTGGGCTAATCAAGGTACCCCCTGAGTGCATTCTGCCAGGTGACAGGGGCAGGCCAGCGTGATGCCTGAATCCTTACGGGAACTAAGAACTAAACCAAGGTCCTCTGGGAGAACAGAACCCTTAACCACTGAGCCGTCTCCAGTGGCCCCTCAGTATGAGTGAACCGCTGATGTACGGTTTGTCACGGTAGAACCTTGAAAGCATTCTAAACGAAAGCAACCAAACACAGAAGGCCACATACAGGCTAATTCCACGTATAGGTCATTTTCTCAGTAGGAAACTCTGTGGTTTCCAAGTAATGGTTTCCAGAAGCAAGGAGAGGCAGCTGGGAGGCTGCTAATGGAAAAGAGGCCTCTTGGTGGACACAAATATGTTCTTGAAAGTACTGTTGGTTGCATAACTCTGAGTGTTCCAGAGCCCAGCAAGTTGTATGCTTTAACAGGGTGGATATTATGGTATATGAAAGAAATTTCAGTAATACTATTTTCAAAAGTTTAGAGCTGGGGATATACCTGAGGAGGTAGGGAGCATGCTTGTCATGCCACAGACCCTAGGATCTCTCCCCAAAATACCACATACACACACACACACACACACAAGTTACGGTGTCCTGGGGATTTCTGTATTGCTGGCCACCCAATAATATTTGCAATTGTTTTTTAAATGAAGCGTCAGACTGGAATTTTATTTATAGGGTTGTTAGATTCTATTTGTAGAGTCAAAGAAGCACTATATTTCAGTTACATAAAAGCTAGCCAAAGCTACATACAGGACAGAATCCCTTACCACAGCAAGGTGGATTTGTTCCTGTGTCCTCATAGGTTTCACCACACGAGTTTGAAGTGTTCTTTGGATGATAAAAACCCTCTTCCTCGTTAGTTATTCTGCTTTTTTGCACACCTTGTGGATCTAAGTAGTTGGGTTCAAAGTGAACTAAGATTGTTAAGTTTTACTCTTTTGGATTGAGGCAGGGTCTCACCATGTAACTGGATGGCCTGGAACTCACTGTGTAGCAAGGCCAGCCTCCTGAGTGCAGGGATTAAAGGTGTGTGCCACTGTGCCCAACTAATTCTACACTTTTTAACAACTGAATCTTAGCCAGGCGATGGTGGCACATGCCTTTAATCCCAGCACTCGGGATGCAGAGGCAGGTGGATCTCTGTGAGTTCGAGGCCAGCCTGGTCTACAGAACGAGTTCCAGGACAGCCTCCAAAAGAATACAGAGAAACCCTGTCTCAAACAAACAAAATTTTGCAAAAGATTTGATTTTTAATTGTGTGTGTGTGTGTGTATGTATGTCAGGTACCTACATATGAATTCAAGTGCCCATGGAAGCCAGAACTACCGATTCCCCTGGAGCTGGGGTTACGGGAGGTTGCGAGCCTGCGTTGAGGGTGCTGGGAGCTGAACATGCTGTAGCTACCCCTCAGCAGCCCTCCAGCCCAACGCCTGGGTTTTTGTTGTTTGTCTTTCTTTGTTGATACAGGATCTTGCCCACCCATGTTGGTCCTTGAACTTTAACAACTGAAATTTGAACTAAAATGAATTTAGGTTTTAGTTACATAAAACGTTAGTGGTTTTTGTGGTTTAGTCACATTAGCGTACTTCCATAATATTCCAGGGTTTTCTGGAGTTCTTACTTGGTTGTAATTCACTTTTCTGTACTCTTAGCTTACAGAGCACAGAGAAGCACGGCACACCTACAGCCTGGAGTCCTTCTGTCGATGTCCTTTTTATGAAGAGGCCATGCATTTGGTGGAAGAAGGGAAAATTTACTCCCGAGTACTGAGGTATTGGTTTAGCTTAGAGCTAACCATTTAGCTTAATGACTAATATATTATCTTATAATAACGTATTATAAATATATCTTATAATAACATATTTAGGTGCTGTTGCTCTTTTTGGGTGACAGTTATTAAATTATGCTTGTGAATATGGGAAAGATACATTTTTGGTCCAAGCAAAAGTTTTCCACGGTCTGCCAGTGTGCAGAGGACATGTGTTTATCATTACAGTCCTGTGGCAAAGCCCGGTTCAAGTCCAGATTTGCAGAAGGCTTGATCTTGACAGTTGCCGTCTGCTCTTTATTGTACAGAACTGAGATGCTGGAGTGCCTGGGAGACAGCGACTTTCTCGCCAAACTGCACTGTATCCGGCAGGCTTTCCAGGTGCGTCTTGGGGCGTCGGGTGTGTTGCACACCTTTATGTTGTGGCATCCTGCCCGTGCGTAGGGCAGCTCTCTCCATTATTCGGGCTGCCCGTGGCAGATAGGCAGTCTGCTCCGTGTGCTCTCCCTCTGCCCGGCCCCGGCCCCGGCCCCGGCCCCGTCTCCGGCTCCATTGTCCTTCCCCTCAGCTTTCCAGGCCCTCCACACTTTGTCTAAACAGAGTACCATGGTGGTGGAGGTGTGTGGGATGGCTCTTAAAACACCGCCTGGTCATCAAGCGGCGTATAGGTATAGGTTTTCGAAAATTGAATCCGTGACAAAAGTTACTGATTTCCTAAACAGAAGTGAGGCTGCTAGTAATAAAGCCAGGATTGCTGACACACACCTTTAATTCCAACACTGTTTGTGAGTTTGAGGCCAGCCAGGTCTACCTTGGGCGTTCCAAGCCAGCCAGAGTTATAGAGTAAGACCCTGTCTCAAAAAAACAAAAACGAAATTTACCTTAGGTTTAAAAAAAAAATGCAAAACTTGCCAGGCAGTGGTGGTGCACGTCTTTAATCCCAGCACTTGGGAGGCAGAGGCAGGCGGATCTCTGTGAGTTCAAGGCCAGCCTGGTCTACAAAGTGAGTTACAGGACAGCCAGGGCTGTTACACAGAGAAATCCTGTCTCAAAAAAAAAAATCAAGATTTGTTTTGATTATTTTTATGTGTGTGTGCATGTGTGTAGATAGTTAGGTAGGTACACATGAGTGCAGATGTCCAGGGAGACACAAAAGGGTATAGGATACCATGGAGCTGGAATTGCAGGTGGTTTTAAGCTTCCTAACGTGGGTGCTGGGAGCCAGACTTCTGTCCCCTGCAAGGGCAGTGTATGGTCTTAACACTGAGTCGTCCTTCCAGCTCCTCACCCTAGATCACAATTGTCTAAATCAGAATTTAAGTTCGAATTTACCTGCCCCTTATCTTTTTGACCACCGGGTTTAAGAGCTCTTTATTTCTGTGAATTCGGACCTCCTCTGTTTCCAGTGTAGACCTAGCGTCACAGCAGCACACTGATTAACTGTGCCGAGTCCTGCGTGGTCTCTGATGTCACTGGAACCCATTCTCGTCTTCGGGTTGGTATTTTCCAGGTGATTCTTTCAGAGGCAGCCAACAGGATATTCCTTGCTCAAAGTGGAAGGAAGATTTTATCCGCTTTAATTGTGAAAGCACGGAAGGTGAGTCTGTTCTCTAGGCAAGTTTTGTTCTTACCGCTTTGTCTAACTGAAGAGTAAATAATAAAACACGAGGGGCTGTTGAGACAGCTCAGCAGGTCAAGGTCCTTGTCACCAAACTCACAACCTGAGTTTGAGCCCTAGAACCCACACGATCAATCCCGCAATTGTCCCTTTGCATAGATGGTGGCCCGTGACGGTAGACACCTGTCTACCAAACGAAGAAACAGACATTTTTAACGTTTTTAAAGGTTAAATGTATTAAAATTCTAATAGTGGAAGAAATCTTTGTAAGCAATTGGAAAGATCCACCAAACAGTGTTGATTTGTTTGTTTGTTTGTTTGTTTTGAGACGAAGCGTCAGCGTTCCTCTAGCTGGCCTGGAGCTCTCTTTGTAGATCAAGCGAGCCTCAGATGTGTGCTGCTTGCCCTGCCTCTGCCTCTGCCTCCCGCATGCTGGAATTACAGGTGTGCACCGCCCCGTCTAGCTCAGAGAGTGTTAGTTTCCACTTGAGCTCTTTTCTGTGTGTAAAGCTCGTGGTCCTTTGACCGGGCTGTTTCTAATAACTCACAGCCGTCTGGAGGTCTCTGGTGAGTGGAGCTGCCACTGTAACCAGCTGTTGCTACCTCTCCTCCAGCTGTGCAGGAAGAACACTGGGGAGCCTGGAGCACAGACTGGGTTGCCTGTCACTCATCGTCACTGGACTGAGTGAAGCAGAGACATTGATAAGAACTGCACCCGGGCTGCAAGGAGCCCCCTCACTTTATGCAGGCCTGTCGAGATTTAAAACAAACAAGCGGACAGACAGACAGAAGCAGGCCGGCCCTCGGCGCTTTGCCAGCTGGTGTTCAGCTCTAGTCCCATTCACTCTCGGTTCCTCGATCTGCGTGGTAGGATTGCATCCGTCCTACTATGCAGTTGCCATTCTGCTATACAGAAACTATTGTGACTGAAGAAATGCTAGGCGGGAAAGTAACTTAAAATGCACGAGGGACTCTCAGGTGACACTCAGTACAAGTATAAATTGTGGGTTGCTTTCTTGGCCTTCCCACTGTAGACAAGCCCCGGGGTTTGAACCAGAGTGCCTCCAGGAGGAGCAGAGTGCATCGGAAGGACCCCAGCCTTTTGCTGGAATCCCGTTTCCATCTTAAAGTCTGAGCAGCAGTTTGCTATGGGCTTTCCTGACACTCTCACTCTTGGCTTCTGTAAACTAGAATAACAGGTGGTAATACCTGAGAGTGTAGGCTACTTGCCTGCCCTGTCCTATAAAAGGGCCTCGGTAAAATCCCAGCACCATATAAACCAGGCATAGGGGAACATCTGTAATCCCAGCACCGTATAAACCAGTTATAGGGAAACATCTAATCCCAGCACCATATAAACCAGGCATAGGGGCACATCTGTAATCCCAGCACTTGGAAGGAAGATGAAGTAAGAGGGTCAGAAGTGTGAGGTCATCCTCCACTATAGAATGACCTCACCGTTGAGACATTTCTTAAACAAATAAATATTCTGGTATTTTCTAGAATGATTAAGATGCAACTAACTTTATCAAAAAGTAACTTACTTATTTTATAGACTTAAGTCTTATTGTAAAATTAAGTTCAGACTCCAATATGTTTTCTTTGCAGAATCCAAAGAAATTTGAAGATGTTTTTGATGAAATGATCTATTTTTTAGAGCAGACTGATCACTGGGATAGTACTGAGATGGAACTTGCCGCCAGAGGGGTAAATTCAAATTTCATATGATCTTTATTCCTGTTATCTGCAAATGTTTACCTCATTAAGGCAGTGTTTCCTGGTCTTTTTTAAGTGATAGTAAATCCACCCGTGTGTTGGTAAGGCACTGCCATATCCAGTTGTGTAGTAGGTACCGTTGTATCCACCCCTGTGGTGGGGTCATCAATCGTATCCACCCCTGTGGTGGGGTCATCGTATCCACCCGAGTGGTGGGGTCATCAATCGTATCCACCCGTGTGGTGGGGTCATCAATCGTATCCACCCGTGTGGTGGTGGGCACCATCCTGTTTCTGACATCATAAACAATGGGAACGACATTCTTTGTACATTGGTTGGCCGTAAAGAAATGACTGCTCAAAGACATTTTCTTCACTCACATCTTCCCTCTGAAAATCAAGAGGCAGGCTTTACTCTGCGAGACAGTAGCAGTGTCCTGTGCAAGAGCAGTCTGAGATGGACAAGAGACAGGGCGTTTTAGGAAGCCAAGGAAGCAGACATCATAGGACTGAAGGGGCAAAGGGACCAAGAAAAATCAGAGGCAGACTGTCAGAGTCAGAGAGGGCAGAAAAGCCTAGAACTTAGATTGCAGGAATGCATACGGATCCATAGATTATAGCTTACACACGGCAGTAGGGTTTGCATGTGGATCCATAGATTATAGCTTATACATGGCAGTAGGGTTTGCATGTGGATCCATAGATTATAGCTTATACATGGCAGTAGGGTTTGCATGTGGATCCATAGATTATAGCTTATACATGGCAGTAGGGTTTGCATGTGGATCCATAGATTATAGCTTACACACGTTAGTAGGGTTTGCATGTGGATCCATAGATTATAGCTTATACATGGCAGTAGGGTTTGCATGTGGATCCATAGATTATAGCTTATACACGGCAGTAGGGTTTGCATGTGGATCCATAGATTATAGCTTACACACGGCAGTAGGGTTTGATAGCGGTACAAAGGTTTGGGATCTCAAACGCTTCCTGGCTCTGGTTACGTCGGGGTCTGGGAGCAGCAGCAGCTCTGTTCCTGGCTTCTGACCAGCAGCCACCAAAGCACAGCAGGACCCATTGAGGACATGGCCATTCTAGCTCTGGGCAGGGGGAGTCCCTGCCAAGCCTGGGAGGACTCACTGTGGCGGCAGTTCGTAGGTGGGTTTACAGGGAGCTGAGAGACGTTGTGGCAGAGGGAACAGTGGCTACAGACACACAGAGACTTCCTTCTCCGGTGCTCTCTGAATCAGTAGAAACCCGGGCCTTATCCGTCAACTTCCTGCCCGTTACCCACTTTTCCATAGTCATCTCTAAACTGGGCCCAGGGAGCCCCCAAGTATATTTTAGCTTCTTCAGTTTTCCTCCATTCCTGTTGCCTTCGTCTCGGCCTAAATCTCTGCTGCCTTTTACCCAGCCTGCTTCCCGTCTTGTACGCCGTGACTCCCTGCCTTACTCCTCCCCTGTTCGGTTCCACCTACGCCTGTGCTAAAATTATCTTCCTGCTTTGCGGCAAGGCCTCATTGTGACCCAGCACTGAACTCTAGGCAGCTGGCGATGGACTTGAGTTCCTGATCCTCCTGCGTCCCAGGTGCTGAGGTCACAGCTGCCCTGTGCATCTTGAAAATATGTGATCTGATTATCTCCCATCACCACCAACTCCGTCCTGCTGTGGAAACAAAAGTCCTCCACATAGGTATAAACCCTTCCAGGGACTGCTTGCGGTCTCCTGCCAGACTTTCCGCCTGCCCTGCCACAGCGCACGCTCAGTGATTTTTCCCCAATTGGACACTTTTGCGCTTCTTTTGGCTTCAAAGTCTGGCAGGAATTCCCTGTTGCCGGGAAGGCTCAGTCCGCAGGGAGGCCCTCCCTAACGCCCAGCTTAGAACGGATCTGTGCTGCACGCCGATCTGTGCTGCACGCGCTCAATGCTTGTAAGGTGCTTATTGGGGTCGTCATTGGGCATCTGCGGGACTGTCTTCTTGTGGACTCCAGGTTTCTCACCGTAGCTGTGTGAACACACCTGGCGCCGCACAGCGCATGCGAGTGTGTGGTCGAGTAAGGCAGGCCGGTCTGGGTGAGCAGTGACACCTGTGAGCGCTGCCACGGCTCTGTCGGAAGAACACAGGGAAGGGATAGTAAGCAGAGACTGGTCTGACCTCGTGAGCCAAGAAGGGCAAATACCCTGGAGACACACTCCGAACTACTAAAAAGCCTGGCATTTGCAATAACACCCATTTTCTGTCTTGCAATTTAATACAGGTGAAAAATTTAAACTTTTATGACGTGGTTCTGGATTTTATCTTAATGGATTCCTTTGAGGACTTGGAAAACCCACCAACATCCATACAGAACGTGGTGAACAATCGCTGGCTTAACTCTTCCTTCAAGGAAACAGTAAGTGGTACTCACTTTCCTCGCCGTTCGGATTTGATGGGAAACGATCGGAGATGGACAGTTGATTAAAAACTTACGTAGAGGTCAGGAGTGGTGGCGCACGCCTCTAGTTCCAGCACTCAGAAAGCAGAAGCAGGTAGATCTCTGTGACTTCCAGACCAGTGAGAACTTCATGGACAGACCCTGTCTCAAAAACAAAAGCGGGGAGGGAGAGAGGGAGGGAGAGGGAGAGGGAGAGGGAGGGAGGGAGAAGTTATGCTCATCCTTTGATGTTGGGGTCTCCTGTGTAGCATGTAACACTTCAGATGAAATCCTCCTTTGAAAGCCATTCCTGGGTACCAACAAGTAGCACAGGGTATCGTATTTCACGATGACGTCTGAATGCCGGAAATGTCTTCAATAAGTCCCACCGGCAGTTTCACAATTGTTCCGGGACTTCCGGGTAGCGCTGTAAAGCATGGTCAATGTACTCTGCCTTCTCTAAACTATGCCCTAGCCCCCGACAGGGAATGCCTTTCATTCCAGTCTCCAGTCTGGTAGAGGGGTTATCCGGAGCCGTCTTCATCAGGACCCACTAAGACGCTTCTTTTCACTCGTCATGGTCGCAGGTTCTTAGTTTTTGAATAAAACTTAGCTTTACCCTCAGATTCCCAGCAGCACTGTCCTTGAAGGAAAGACAATATTTTATCTCCAGGGCTGTCCCATAGGAACAGAATTTAGGACTCCAGTTTTGTTTGTTTTGAGACAAGGTCTCAGCCTAGCCCAGGCCGGAGGGAACTCCGGGGTCTGCGCCCCAGCCTCTTAGGTACCAGGGTTACAGGTGTGAGTCACCGTGTGAAGCTGTAGAGTTTATGAGCCCTTGAGAATGTTGTTGTAATCGCTAGCCTCCTTGGTTCTAGAGTTCAGCCTTTCTCTCTCTCTCTCTCTTTTTTTTTTTTTTTTTTTGGTTTTTCAAGACAGGGTTTCTCTGTATTGTTTCAGAGGCTGTCCTGGAACTCGCTCTGTAGACCAGGCTGGCTTGGAACTCACAGAGATCCACCTGCCTCTGCCTCCTGGGTGCTGGGATTAAAGGAGTGCACCACCAACGCCCGGCCAGCCTTTTTCTCTTATTGGCTGTGTATTTATTTTTTTACTTTCATAAAAATGAATGTTCATAAACAATACAAGGAACCCAGGGTAGGCCTTACTGTTACTCTTTGGAATTTTTAGACTAAAAAAAAACTTTGAATTCCAGTACAAATCACTGCTTTTAAATGGAAACATTGATAATAGCTATAAACTTAAGCCTTGTCTTTCTCCCCCGTGTACATTTAGGCTGTGGCTTCTAGTTGCTGGTCGGTGCTAAAACAGAAAAGGCAGCAGATGAAGGTAAAACCCATCTCACCCCAGACCCCGCCTGAGTCCACGTTTAAAACCCATCACACCCCAGACCCCGCCTGAGTCCACGCTCTGTTGCTGTGAAAACCACCGAGACTGGGTAATTCACAGGAAAGAGGCCGATTCAGAGCACACAGTGAAGGCTACGAAGTCCAAAACCTACCTGTGTATGGCGTGTGACGAGGCTCTGTGCTGCCCCAATGCCCGCAGGACGAGCAGGCCTGTGTGTGAAGAGGGACATCAAGGACGGCCCTGCTTTATGACAGCGCTCCTCACAGTCCCTTGTTCAGTCTGTGCAGAGCGAGGCCTTGCTCAGCCAATAAAGGCACCGGTAATCCCCGGGGGAGCTACATCTGGGAAGAACACGTCTTCCCTTGTGTCGGCTCGCCCGCATTACCCACAAAGCACTGCTCCCACTGTGCATGCCCTGCTGGTGGTAACGTGTGTGAACCCTGAAGAGAGACGGCCTGGCTCGAAGTGTCACTTACTAACAATGGGACCTTGGCTGGTTGCTAAGTCTCTCTCTACCTCGATGCCTTTATCTTTGAGAAAGAGGAGAATGCCAGTATTGACTCTATACAGGTTTTGAAAAGATTCACTGCGAAGCGCTAAGGGCTCAAATGTAGCTCAGTAGCAGCCTTCAGTTCAGTTCCAGCAATTATTGGTCCAGTGACCTGTGTTGTTTGACCACACCCATGCTTTTCAGTCTAACGTTCCTAACACTGAGCCTGCAAGGCCAGCCTTAGAGGTTTCTGCAGTTAGCATCTTCAGTAGGTGTTGTTAGAAATAGTTCTAGGGACTCCGTCTGAGTAATTATAGTTTAAGATTTCTCTCTCTCTCTCTCTCTCTCTCTCTCTCTCTCTCTCTCTCTCTCTCTCTCTCTCTCTCTCAGAGTGGCAGGAGTTTGTGTAGATGTAAGATGAGTGGGTGGATGATGATGTGAGTGTGTGTGTGTCTGTGTGTATGTGAGTGTGTGTGTCTGTGTGTGTCTGTGAGTGTGTGTCTGTGTGTGTATGTGAGTGTGTGTGTGTCTGTGTGTGTGTCTGTGTCTGTGTGTATGTGAGTGCGTGTGTCTGTGTGTGTCTGTGTCTGTGTGTCTGTGTGTGTATGTGAGTGTGTGTCTGTGTGTGTATGTGAGTGTGTGTGTGTCTGTGTGTGTGTCTGTGTCTGTGTGTATGTGAGTGCATGTGTCTGTGTGTGTCTGTGTCTGTGTGTGTATATGAGTGTGTGTCTGTGTGTGTATGTGAGTGTGTGTGTCTGTGTGTGTGTGTGTCTGTGTGTGTGTATATGTGAGTGTGTGTGTGTGTATGTGAGTGTGTGTGTATGTGAGTGTGTGTGTCTGTGTGTGTCTGTGTGTCTGTGTGTGTATGTGAGTGTGTGTGTCTGTGTGTGTGTGTCTGTGTGTGTGTATATGTGAGTGTGTGTGTCTGTGTGTGTATGTGAGTGCGTGTGTCTGTGTGTGTCTGTGTCTGTGTGTCTGTGTGTGTATGTGAGTGTGTGTCTGTGTGTGTATGTGAGTGTGTGTGTCTGTGTGTGTGTGTCTGTGTGTGTATATGTGAGTGTGTGTGTCTGTGTGTGTATGTGAGTGTGTGTGTCTGTGTCTGTGTGTATGTGAGTGCGTGTGTCTGTGTGTGTCTATGTCTGTGTGTCTGTGTGTGTATGTGAGTGTGTGTCTGTGTGTGTATGTGAGTGTGTGTGTCTGTGTGTGTGTGTGTGCTTTGTGTGTGGGGGTGCAGGGTATGCCACAGTACACCCTTGGGAGTCAAAGGACGGCATTTGGGGTATCAGTCCACACGTTCCCACCTTGTCATCCGAGGAGGGTCCTTTTGCTGCTCTGTAAGCCAGACTAGCTGGCAATTCTCCTATCCATTCCTCCCGTTTCCTCCCCACAGGGACATACTGGCATTACAGACACTTGTGACATGTGTCTGGCTCTTACGTAGGCTCTAAAGATCTGAATTTAGGTTATAAGTCTTGCGTGACAAGCTCTTTGCCCTCGGAGGGAGAAAAGCGCAGTGGAAAGTTTCACCCATGGAGATGACCAAGTGGGAGAATTTCAAGGCAAGGGAAAGCTAGACCAAAACAAAGGCCAGAATCAGCTTGGGGAAGGAAAGGGTCTCTTTGGCTTACACTTATGTGTTACGGGGCACCATCCAGGAAACTCGAGGCAGGATCCCGGAGGCAGGGACTGGAGAAGAGGCTCTGGGGACATTGCTCACCAGCTTGTTCGTGGCTTACTCAGCTGGCTGTCTTATGTCACCCAGAGCCACCTGTCCAGAGGCGGTGGCACCTTGTAGTGACCAGAACCCTCCCATAACAGTCATTCATCAAGAACTTGCCTACAGGCACTCTGATGGAGGCAGACCCTCAATTAAAGTTCCCTCCTCCAAAATGGCTGTAGTTTGTGTCAAGCTGACAAAAACAAAAACAAAAACAAAAATAGCACACCATGAATGGAACATTCATGATTTTTTTTTGATTTTTCGAGACAGGGTTTCTCTGTATTGTTTTGGAGGCTGTCCTGGCACTCGCTCTGTAGACCAGGCTGGCCTCGAACTCACAGAGATTCGCCTGCCTCTGCCTCCCGAGTGCCACCAACGCCTGGCACATTCATGAATATTAAGACACTATAGAAAGGCCAAACTTTTGAAAACATGGAAGAAAAAAGAAACCCAAGTCAAAGTCACAGGAAATATGTTCAACAAAGTCACAGAAGAAAGTTTCCCAAATTTAAGGCCTGTCAAGATGCAAGAAGCATAAACATCAAACGGTTGGGACCAGAAAAGGAACAGTGCATTTCATATAGTAGTTAAAACACTAAATGTCCAGATCAAAGAAACTATTGAAAGTTACAACAGAGAAAAGACCAACTCCCATATAAAGGCTCCCACCAGAATAACAGCGCCACCCACTTTTTAGTGGAGATATAAGGAGCCAGGATGGCTCATATGGATGTTCTACAAGTCCTGAAAGACAACAGGTGACATCCCAGACTACTGCACTAAAGCAAAAAACTATCAGTCATAGATAAAAGTGACAAAGGTAACCCTCCTGTGGCAAAAACAGATCACAGGAATTGATGACCCCAGCCAGCTCTATAGAAGATACTGGAAAGAATACGTTGGTCTGAAGAGAAGAATAAACACACCTAAGAAAATAAACTATGTCAGAACAGCTAACCAAAAAGGATCTAATAAAACACCACAAAATGACAGGGACAATAATATTAATAGTCTTAATTCCCCAGTAATGGATTTGACTAGAAAACAGGACTCCCCTTCCTCTCCCCCCCTTTTTGTTGTTGTTGGGTTGTTTTTTGTCTTTTTCTGCTTCCAAGAAACACATATCACCATCAATGACAGACAACACCTTAGGGTAAAAGGATGGAAAAGTATTCCAAGCAAATGGAGCTAAGAGAGACAATCAGAGTAGCTCTTCTAATGTCTGACAAGATCAGCTTCATAACTAGTCAGATGAGGTAAGGAGGGCACTTCATACTGAAGAAGTAGGCCTCTGGAAAGCATTGCATTACTAAGCAAACTAACTGCTGGCTCAGCAGTTAGGAGCACATACTGTTCTTGCAGAGAATCCAAGTTCAATTCCCAGTACCCAGGTCAGGCAGCTCCCAACCGCCTGTAACTCCAGTTCCAGGGGATCTGAAGTCTTCTGGCCTCTGTGAACTTGTCAGTGTATGTGCACAGAGATACACACACATATACTCGATTAAAATGAAATCTTTAGCAACATGTACTCCTTGATCTAAAGCCACAGGTTAACCTCAGCACCATGACAACAGGTGGCTTCAGCGTTCCGACTCTCACCAATAGACAAAGACTAAACAGGGAAAATGGGAGTTAAGTGGCATCACACATAAAATGGGCATAACAGATACCGCAGAACATTCTGCCCAAACATTAAACATTACCTTCTTCTGAATGGCCCTTGGAACTTTCTCCAAAACTGATGACACATTAGCACACAAAGCAAGAGTGAACAGATACAGGGAAATTGAAACAACATTCTACAGTCTGTCTGGCCGCGGTGGAATAAAACTGGATTCCAAGAGCAACAGAAAGTACACAAAATCATGGAAACTAAGCAACATGCTGTGGAGTGATAACCAGGTCAAGGAAGACATCGAGAAGGAGAACATTCTTAATCAAAAATGTTTTAAATTAGATGTATTCATTTTACACCGTGGAAGAATGCTGTGGCATTGTTGAGAACGTCACTGCAGCATGACAGTTGCTCTTAGGAAGTAGAAGTTGACTCAGAGCCCAGTGCTCTGTGGGGCTTTGACTAAGAGTGACCCCATAGGCTCCTATTTTGCTGCTTAGCCCCCAGTTGATGCACTATTTGGGAAGGATTAGGAGGCGTGGCCTTGTTGGAAGAGGTGTTCCAGAATTCAAAACAGTCTGAAACTTTTCTGGCTGGAGCCCCTGGATAAGGAAGGTCCAAAATGTATTTTTATGAGGTTAATTTGCCTTTTAGAAGGTGTTTTTCATCTAAAACGGCTGGCTAGAGTATAGTCTATAAAAACCCTCTGACCCTTAGTTACTGTTAACTTTATCAATGCTCCCCAAAGACTGCTGCCCACACAGTGACTAGCAGTTTGTGTTTCATTAATAAATGTATGAAGATAAAAATAACCTGATTCCCTTTTGCTTCCCAACAGATCTCAGATGGATTTTTTGCCCATTTTTATGCCATTTGTGAGCATATAAGCCCTGTCTTAGCCTGGGGCTTCTTGGGACCTAGAAATTCTCTCTATGACTTATGCTGCTTCTTTAAGGTATGTTCAGTCATTGAATCATTGCTTTAAAAAAATAAAACCAAGTTGTTTACTTTTGTATAACATATATAAAGTTTTTAAAATTCTGCATTTAAGTGCCAATATTAAATTTGTGACATTTTTAAATACCAGTGTTAATATAATGGACCAGGGCCTTAGAGAGCTGACACCCTATTGCACAGTAGATTCCATAGGTCCACTGACTGTCTACTGAGAGTCTTGAACCGTGCTGCCGTGTTACGGTGGCCCCTGGGGGTGTTGTGGTACAGAACTCAGTTCTGTACAAGATGATATGAAAGCTGAAACCCAAGTTGTAAGAAATCACACGGGAATGTGAAGTTATGTCCTCTTGTCAGAAGTTTGTTTTTGCCAAAACATTTGTTAGAGCTCACAGCAAAATGTTCTGGCTGGCACAGTAGAAGGAGAACCTCTCTGTTGGACTTCATGGAGGTGGCTAACTCTCAAGAGGCCAACAATAAGTATAAATTTGAACGCTTGGTTTGCCTCCCTGTACTGTGAATTTTTGATTTTAATTTTTGTTTTCTTTAGTAATACAATGTTTGTATGAATTATTTTGGAAGTATTTATTTTGCTGCTGTTTAGAACTTATTACTTTGACCGGTGGCACGCATCTTTTAATCCCAGCACTCGAGAGGCAGAGGTAGGCAGATCTCTGTGAGTTTGAGACCAGCCTGGTCTACAGAGGGAGTTCCAGGACAGCCTCCAAAACGATACAGAGAAACCCTGTCTCGATAAACAAAAAGAACAAACAAACAGAAAAAAAGAAGAACTCATTACTTTGTTCCTAGTCTGCTTAACCTTCCAGTTGCCCTGAGTGTTTCGGTGGAGAGAGCAGGGCTGGTGGTTAGACAGTGTTGAGTTCTCCAACTCCCACCTCCTTCCCTTCTGCAGACTGGAGCACTAGAAGACCTCTGGCCTGTGACCCTGCAGTGACTCTGTGATAGCCTTCCTAGTATTTCTTAGCATGCGATTCCTGCAGGGTTAAAATGTGTTGTTTCTGGATTTTCTCTTTGCAACTCCCTCTTTTCCACCATTTCATAGTAGTTGAAGTTTAGTGTTTAAGAGTACACAACACACCTTAAATGTGCTTTTCTGCGAATTCACTGAAATGGAACTCTTCTGGACCTGCCACTGTAGACATGAAACTAGTAGTTTTCATTTATGTCCTTTTAACAGAAACAATGTACACTTGAAAGTGTCGTGATTGTTGAGAGTGCTTCTTTTTCCTGTGCGTACGTGGCCCAGTGCTCAGAGGTGACCACAGAGGGAAGGGTGGTAAATAGCCCCTCAGTCACATACTGCTTTGGGTGCTTCTCATAGACTGTCTCCTTTGATCATTTATAGGGGACACGTTAGCCAGGCGTGATGGCACATGTCTTTAATCCAAGCACTCGGGAGGCAGAGGCAGGTGAATCTCTGAGTTCAAGGCCAGCCTGGTCTATAGAGAGTTCCAGGACAGCCAGACAGCTACACAGAGAAACCATTCCCTCCCTCCCCAAAAAAGGAAAAAACAAAAACAAAACTCGAAAACCAGGACAAGTAATAGTTGCCCAAGTTTTACAGACATAGGAAACAACAAACAAAAAGATTAAATAACTTCTTCAAAGTCCTTTGTCCCAGAACTAAGCTGTCTGACTCCTGGTTCAATGTCTGTTCCAATATTAGCAATTCATAGCAGTTCATAGGTTTAACAAGTTGTGGTATAATAAGTGCCAATTTCTTGCATTTTCATCTTCCAGAATCAAGTTCTTTTCTTTCTCAAAGACATCTTTGACTTTGAGAAGGTCCGCTATTCGAGCATAGACACGTTGGCGGAGGACCTGTCTCACTTACTCATCCGCCGCACGGAACTGCTGGTCGCCTGTCTTGGTGCGGATGCCCTGAGGCATGCCACTGCTTGTACTAGTGGCCATGGCCACGCCGTGTCCACCACGCTGGTAGAAGGCAGAGTACAGTAAGAACTGAAGAGGCTTGAGGGTGCCGTCCAGTACCTTAAAGTGACTACTGACTTTGTGACAGTCAGCATCCACAGAATTGTCGCTGTGGACTCAGGGAGCAGAAAGGAAGTCTCAAAGAATGGGTGACTGTACTGTATGTACGCAGAAATTCTGTCATTGAACCCACGTGTGACACGTCCAGAGCGACGTTTTAATAACCCTTAGGTAATAACTTAAGTTATGAAATGTTTCATATTCTGTGGCCGTTGCTTGAATGGAAGCCAATACTTAGGAGTCCGTTAAGTGTCTTCACACTGTCTGGAATGTCCACTATCACTCTCAAAACACGTCTCGATGCTTTGCACCTTGAAAATACACTAGCCCAAGATGATTGGGGGTCGCGTGTGCAAGAATTTATGGCTTCCAGCGTCAACATATCTAACTTTGCCTGAAATGTATTCTCAGCCATCAAGTTATCTCTTCGTTTAATCAAATGTAGGCAATAGTGGTGTTTAACTGTACTGTTTGCCTTATTGCTTGTATATTTGCTTTTGTATTTGAATCAAAGAGATTACAATCACCAAGGATTAGTATACAGATCCGCCGTGGATGAAACTGAGCAGCTTACAGTGTGTTCCTTGTGGAGGGCACCTGCAGTGTCCAGAGTATATTGCTGTTGTCCTATGAGTTATAATACACTGAGGTATTTTTTATCTTTTTACAAATCATAGCGGTTTTCCTCAGATGAATATTAAATTTGAAAAGATATAGTTTACCAAGCAAAAGAATACAAGTCTTATCCCCTTTTAAATGTAATGCTGAGGCGTAAGATATTAAGCCTGGTAGGATTGAGTAGCTTCTGCTTTCTGGGTCAGCAAAGCAAATGTGACTCCCCACAGCGACCTCAGCACACTGCAAGCTTGCCGTGTTATGCCCACAGTTTAAAACTGCTCACACTTTGAGCTTGGGTTTTAAAGGATTTTTTTCCCCTCTCAGAAACGGAACACAAATATTCCAACAGGGGATATGTCCTGTGTCCTTATGATTAAATATATGAACAAGTGGCAAGGTATATCATGTATTTTCAAGCCCTGTTACCTTTCGGATGATGCACCGCTTGTTCACCGGTGGATTGGATTTGTTGACTTGTGGTCCTAGAGAGGGCTGCATTAGTTTCAAGAGTGAGCTATACAGAAAGATCTGAAATGCGTTTTTTTAAAAATGCATTTTCAGATTAAAGTGCCTAGATTAAGGTTAATGGTGAGAAAATAAAAGGTAGAAATACGTTTAATTTTTTTAAGATTTTAAACTTAATACGTACGTGGTGACGTAAATTAGTTAGAAGATGTAAAATTTAGACTCGTGCCATTAGTGTGTATAGGCTGTTAGGGCCCTAAACTTGTCTTGATGCGCAATGCCTCGCCCTCTCCTACATCCCTTTTAATTTCCTAACTGCCTTGCCATGATTCTTGCTGATGACAAGTACCAAGACGCATCGTATCCTGCTTCCTTTTTTACTTTCACATTAGATGTGTCTCCCTTCTGAGGTGTCCCTGGGTTGTGAGTGACACGCGTGCATGCCTGCTGTGGTCACCTCGGAGCCAGGACAGTTACGGATTGTATTAGTTAATGTGGGAGAGCTAATCGTTTTGCGCTAAGGTTTTTTATAAGCGGGAAAAATGCTGCTTGAATTGGTTTTTGAAGACTTGCACTATGTAGCAATAACGCTGCCGCAACATGAGATAATCTGGGGTGGGTGGCCTCTCCAAAAAGTGTTTGATTTCTCCGTCTTTAAGTTTCAGTTAAAAACAAATAAATAGTCCATCTTCAAGAAAGGGTTGGTTTGACTGGGAGGCGGTGTCATACTCCTTTGATCCCATCCCTCGGGAGGCAGAGGCAGGCAAATCCGTGTGAGTTCAAGGCCAGCCTGGTCTACAGAGCTAGTTCCAGGACAGCCAGGGCTACACAGACAAACCCTGTCTTGAAAAACCAAAATGAAAGAATGGGTTGGTTTTTGGAACCGAAGTGCTTAAATTTGATGAGTTTCTGGTGAGCTAATTAGAACACTTACCAGATCCTTTCTTTGTGGCCTTTGACAAAAAGAAATAAGGATGACCAAATAAGATTGGGGGGCAATAAATACAGGAGAAAAATCTTTTGGGGGTGGGGGTGGGGAAGCTTAAGTTTTTAAAGGAAAATGTCTTTTTAAAAAGAACTTCTCTGACTTGACTGTTGGAAATACCTAAGAGATACACACACACACACACACACACACACAACCAGTTTTGATCAAACTAGAGGCTAGAGCCTGTTGGGGGCAGGCAGCTAATAGGACTCATGGCATTAACTGAGGATCAGCTGCCATAGCCACCCTACACAGGATGTAAGAGGGCAGAGTTAATCCCAAGAAAAGTCTTCCAGAAAAAAAGGAAAAACATTCAGTTGATTTATTTTCCTTTGTTTCTCTCTGTTCTTGTTCAGCTAAAATGATAGTTTTCTTGCCAAAGGTTAACACTATGTCCGTGAAGTGACAAAATGGAGGTCTTTTTACAGGAGGCCAAGCTCTCTGTTGTCAAAGTCAGCTCCCAAGACCTGTGCCTGTCTCCTGAGTTAATGCTCCCCTTTTGCATCTGTTCACCGTGACCCTGTGGATTTGTTGAGCTAACTGACTACACAGGACTACTTGCAAGTGTTTGCTTGCTTTAAGATGTAGTGTTCCCTCCTTAATTCCAGGCAGTTAGCCCAGAAATGAGTGACACCAAAGTAAGGTTGACAGAGTGGCGGAGACCTCCTCCGGGGCCTGTCACGATCAGAACTGGGAGTTACGTTTGTAACTCTTGCTGTAACTTTTAGTATGAACATGGATTCAGAAATTAATTGGGATGTAACTCCAAACTGACTATAAAGATAAGTTAAAATCTGTAAATTTTCTAACTAACAAATAATGTATGTGAGATGTAAGAGTTTATATAACCTGTGATAAATGGACGTGTGAAACACTTTGTTCTCAGTGATTGTATTGCGTTACTGCTTCCTTGACTGACCTCGGCGAGTCTGTTTCTCTGGTGTGAGGGCTGAACTCACCTGTGTAAGAGTAAACCACTGTGGGAAGAGCAGCGCCGGCCCTGTGCAGACGCTAGGATGAGGGTGTCCTTCTGGTCCAGCCAAACAAAAATGTGATGGCGTCCTGGCGGTGTGCCGGCTGCTTTAAGTAACGTTTGAGTGGTCGTGAGGCCAGTGTTGCCCCTGTAGGCCTGCCCTTTGACAGAGACCACAGAGAAACAGAGGACTCTGGGATCCCGCACTGAAATCAAGTGTAAAATGTTACCAAGTATCTGTACGTGCTAACGTGGAAATAAAGGTAGTGTTGTAATGGATAAAGCCCCAGCACTCATGTTTCAGTGAAGGCATTTCAGTGAGCAAGGCCATCCGACAGTGTAAGCTTCTGGGATGGATATGGAGATTAGACCCAGGACTTCATGCAGGCTACGCAAGTGCTCACCGCTCAGCTACTCACACAGCTCCTGTTTTTCAGTTTCTTTGGTTTGCTCCTGCATTTTGGTTTTTTGTTTGTTTGTTTTTGTTTTTTTCGAGACAGGGTTTCTCTGTATTGTTCTGGAGGCTCTCCTGGAGCTCGCTCTGTAGACCAGCCTGGCCTCGAACTCACAGAGATCCTGCCTGCCTCTGCCTCCCGAGTGCCGGGATTAAAGGCGTGCACATCTCGCAGAATTGTGACATGTGTTTATAAACCTCCCCCAAGGGCCCCTCCGTGTGTGTCGTTACATTCTGCAGGGCCACATCCTAGCTGTGATGGATGTGAACGCTCACCTATCTGCCGCTGTCCCTGCAGTTCACTTAGTGAGACTGCGCGCCCTCCCCTTCTGTGAATGCTCGCTCATGCTCCGTGCTGTGTTCCCCGGACCCTGATGCAGCGCTTGACGCCATCTTTCTTCCGCAGTGTTTCTGCGCAGGTCCTGTATTCTTTAATATTTCACCCTGCCGTTCCTTGCCGCGTTCTCCCTTGATCTTCTCTGCTGTCTGTGATCAGGCTGCACAGACTTTGGGTTTTTTGGTTTTTTTTTTCAGATTCTCTGACTTTTTGTACCCCAAAAACAGTGAAGCCCCTGCAGTAACCGGGCAAGGAAGGGCCGGGTTCCAGCACAGCAGAGAAAAACGCCTGCCCGGTGGCACTTTTTATCCTTTACTTAAAAAGCTGTAGCGGAGCAGCTGCCGGGTCACTCTCTGCACTCTGCCTCCGTCTGCGTGTCGCCAAAGACGTCCACGGGCACACTTACATATAGGAGGCTTCAGAGCTTGCTGATTTGCCGTTTGAAGTACATCATAGTTCCAGAACACACTTGCCGTGAGCAGCGCTGGGCAAAGGCCGGTCCTACAGCCCTGCCGATGCGGCTAACCCTCGAGACCATGGAGCCTTTAAGGGGAGCGCGCTGCGTATGTGTCAGGAGGCGGGCGACAGCATCCCCTTTCTCTGCCTCTTCTTTCTTTATTTAAATTTTTTTTTTTTTTTGGTTTTACGAGACAGGGTTTCTCTGTATTGTTTTGGAGGCTGTCGGTCCAGCCTGGCCTCCAACTCACAGAGATCCGCCTGCCTCTGCCTCCCGAGTGCTGGGATTAAAGGCTTCTTTCTTTTTTTTAGGTGATGCTCGGGTGATGCTCAGCCTCTGGAGTAGCTGAAACCGCAGGCACTTGCCACCGGCCAGGTGAAGGGTGTCCCACAGTTTAACAGCTTAAGACAGCAAACACTCCCGTTGCTTCGAAGGGTTGGTTGTACCACCCGTGGTAGCTGGCCTGTTTCTTCAGGGCCTCTGCTAAGGCCACAGGAAACTAAAGGATCACCTGGGGATAACTGGAATTTTGGATTTGCTGTGCTCCCCAGGGGTCCGTGTGCTGGAAGCTTCTCTCCTGTGACTGTTGAAGTGATTGGTGGAACCTCCAGACGGTGGGGCCTTACAGAAAGCAAACACGAGGTTGTGTGGCTCCGCCCTCTGAGGGGCAGCCAGGCTCCGCCCTCTGGAGCATACGGGGGGAGTGGGCTGCCTGCCGTCATGGTCTGCATGAGTTACTTCCTTGAGAGCAGGGTGTTCTAAAGGGGCACACAGCAGACTCCCCGTTCTGCAAACCACCCTGTGGTGCAGCAGGAGACCCTCACCTCCCTGCCAGTGTCATCCAAGTTCCCACAGTTAGAGCCAAATAAACCTTTTAAAAATGGGACCCACATCCGGTGTCTGGGGTAGCAACACAGAGTAGTTAGGAAGGCTGGGAGATTTGCTGACTCAGGCCCGCTGTCAGTAGGCCTCCGTCCGTTGTCATAATTTCTTACTGACTGCGCTCTCTTATATTTTTGGTTGTGAGCCTAACCTTAACGGCTGAGCTATCCCTCCAGCCCAGACTGAGCTCTCAACGCAGTTTCCTGGGTGCTTTAGAACATGGAAGCGGCAACTTCTCTAGTGTTATACAAGGAGGTGAAAGCCGTGTTTGTGTGACGGGCAATGCTTGGACAGGGTGCACACATGCTCCTGCAAGCAGAGACCAGCCCCTGGTGCTGTGTGGAAGTCAGGGGGCAACATCATCGGGTACCAGTCCTGCCTCCCACTCTGAGACAGGGCCTCCTTATCCTCAGGCTATCTGGCTTGTAGCTTCCGGAAATTCTCTTTTTCTTACCGAAGGAGCTCACTGCAGGGGGACAGCAGACCCATGACCCACTGAGTTTGGCTTTTTAAGAGTTCTGGGAACTGGAACTCACACGGTCAGGCCAGCATGGCTTTACACATTGGCATCTCCCGGCCTTGGCAATGCCTAGACTTGGAATGGCGTCGCTTCTGCCACTCTCTGCTGGACACCAGCCCTGCCACAGTGTGTGAGAACACTGCACCGTCTAGTCGCCAGGAGGCAAGACCATTCGGGATCTTCTTGCTGGCTGAACACCACAGTGCCGACGCATAAAGTGAGTCTGGGAGACGGCTTGTTTGGTAAAAGCACTTGCCGTTCAGGTCTGACAGACTGAGTTTGATTCCCCAGAGCCCTTTGTGGAATGAGAGAGTCTACTCCTGAAAGTCATCCTCTGACCTCCTCATGCACACGAGCATGAACACACACACATCTGTGCGCACACACACACACACACACACACATGCTAAGAAGGTGTTCTACCAATGTGCATCCTGCACCCTACAAGTCCCTGACTTTCTTTTTTTCCTTTTGACAAGGTGTCACTATGTAGCCCAGGCTAGCCTGGAACTCATTATGTAGACCCAGCTCTAGGTGTCTGACTGCCTATCTCTCCCAGGTCACACCCAGAATACCTTGTTTGCTGCTGCTGTTTCCCTTTGAAACTGTATCTTAGTGATAACATTTCTCCCTTCCTCTCCTCCCTGAAAACCGTCCCACGTGCGCCTTCCCATCCTTCAAATCCAGGGTCTCTTTCCTTCATCCGTCGTTACTGCATGCACACGTGTGTTTGTGTATTCAGATGTGTGCTCCCATATATAACCTGCTCAGTCCACATAATGTTGCTTGTATGTGTATCTTCAGGGGTAACGGTTCGCCACTAGACAACCAATTGCATCCCTTACTTTTTAAAGTGAAAAATCGCCAGGTGGTGGTGGCACATGCCTTTAATCCCAGCACTCGGGAGGCAGAGGCAGGTGGATCTCTGTGAGTTCGAGGCCAGCCTGGTCTACAGAGTGAGTTCCAGGACAGCCTCCAAAACAATACAGAGAAACCCTGTCCCAAAAAACCAACAAAATAAAATAAAATAATAATAATAATAAAGTGAGAAATCCTTTAGCAGTATAATGACGAGAGATTCTCACTAGGTTTATGTTTGTGCCCAGTATTTTACACTTGTTTTCTCCAGGCTTGGTGGTTAAGTTTTATAAGCTGTTTGCCTTTACCCGTTCACTTCAAAGCTTCAACTTTGTCTCTGTGTCTGTGTTGTGATGCTTGTCTAATCTGGATGGAGGTCCAGTGTTAGAACACTCAGTACACTTAAGGTCCCAGGTTTGAATCCCAGTATCATAAACTATAACTAGTACAGGTTGAGATCAGCCCCAGTTGATTTGTGGTGAAAACAACAGGAATTCATACACATATTTGCAAATCTTGAGTGTGGTGGTTTGAATGTAATTGGGCCCCATAATCTCATAGGGAGTGGCGCTATTAGGAGGCATGGTCTTGTTGGAGGAAGTGAGTCACTGTGGAGGCGGGCTTTGAGGTCTCATACATGCTCAAGCCATGCCCAGTGTCTCAGACCACTTCCTCTGAAACTGTAAGTCACCCAGTTAAACATTTTCCTTTGTAAGAGTTGCCCTGGTCATGGTGTCTCTTCACAGCAATAGAATCCCTAACTAATGTCAAATTTATAGTCTAAACTTAATCCCCCTTGGTCTCACAGCAGTGGTCTTCCACAAGTATTTCCCACCAGAACATTTTCCACCTCGAAGACCAGAAACCTCTCTTGGTATCTGGCAAGCAGGCAGTTCACAAAAGCCGGCCAGCTCTATCTGAAACATGCCTAGCGTTTCTCAACCCCTTTCCAGCCGCCAAACTCCAACTACGCTTCGTCTTGATTCTGGGGACCCTCTTGGTCTGTCTCTGACTTCCTGCCTCGCCCCGTCTGTCTGTCTGCCGCAAGCGGGTCACAGCATGCCACTGCTGTGTTTAAGAGCCACTGGTGGCCTCCTATCTCAGGGGAAAATCGAAACCCGTTCAGTGCCCTACAAAAGCCCCTGTGTGGTCCGGCCCCGCCCACCTCCGCTCCTGTTATTTCAGCCTTCAGGTCCAAGCCACACAAGCCTCCTTGTTTCTCCTACCACTGACCAGGTAGGATCCCTTCTGTGCGCTGACTCCTCCTGCGGTGGAGGTGTGGGGCTCTCTCCACTCACATAAACTGTATGGCGAGAGGACGCAGTGGGAGCCTCAGCTAGGGCTGAGGAGGGATTGCCTTTTGAGTGTGAGGACCCACGATGAATCCTCAGTGCCCACACGTAACATGGTCAGCGGGTGCTCTCCTGGAGAGGTGCAAACAGGGCGGTCCAGGATCTGGGTACTCAGCCAGTCTAAAGCAGTTGGTGAGTTCCCGGCCAGTGTGACCCTGTCTCTAAGAAGTTAATGCTCTTCTTCTTTTTTATTTTTAAAGATTTATTTATTTATTACACATACACTGTCTGCTTACATGCCAGAAGAGGGCGCCAGATTGGGTTGTAGATGGTTGTGAGCCACCGTGTGGGTGCTGGGAATTGAACTCAGGACCCCTGGGAGAGCAGTCAGTGCTCCTAACCTCTGAGCCACCCCTCCAGCCCGTGAATGCTGTTCCTAAGCACACAACACCTGATGTGGGTTCTCTGACCTCCTTGTGCACACGTATACCAACACACACATGTGTGCACGCCACACGCATGTAAAAAAAAGTGAGAGTCTGGAGAGGCCGTTACTGGCCTTCCCACACTCCGCTTTCCCGTCTCCGGGAAGTGTGTGAGCACCTCTCCCACAAACGCAGCGCCGCCTGAAATAATGTGCACATCAGACCCACGTTGGCCCCGGCATCGCGTTCTGGAACAAACGGCTACGGCTTACACAGCCTCAGTTATTTTGTTCCAGGAACGGGAAACACTCAGACGGTGCCTCGATTTCCTCAAGACTCCTCTGGGGAGACTTTGTGTAGCCGCTAAAGCCGTTCAGTGCACCCAGCCAGCCCCTTCTTCCGAGCGGAGCCTCCCTAAGTGGAACCATAGTTCACGGCGTGCTTTTCTCGCCTCCCTGCACGGGAATCTGTTCCCTGAGAGCAGGAGTCTTGTCGCTGCTGCTTGAGGTCGCCAACTCTTGAGTGGATGACAAAATGTCGAGAGAAAAGGCCGCCTGTGCGTGCTGTGTCACGGTCGCCTTTCGCACTGCTGCGATAAAATACTCTTAAATAAGGGAGAGAGGCCTGACCTGGCTCACAGTTCCAGGTTACAGCCATCATTCCCGGGGGTACTGATCACCACATGCACAGTGCAAAGCAGAGAAATCTGGGGTGGGGTGGGGTAGGTGTGGTGACACACATCTTATCCCAGCAGAGGTCAGCCTGGACTGCACATCCAGGTCCCGGCCAGCTAAAGTCCCACAGTGAGACCCTGTCTTAAAAAGAAAAAAAGCAGAAAGGGCCAGCGAGATGGCTTAGTGATTGAGAGCAGTGACGCCTCTCCCGGAGCACCAAGGTTCAATTCCCAGCACCCACATGGCAGCTCACAACTGTCAGTGACTCTTAAGATCTGACACCCTCGCACAGACATATGTGTAAGGCAAAATGCCAATGCACATAAAATAAAAACAAATTATGCTTTTTAAAAGTCTGAAAGAGCCGGGCGGTGGTGGCGCATGCCTTTAATCGCAGCACTCTGGAGGCAGAGGAAGGCGGATCTCTGTGAGTTCGAGACCAGCCTGGTCTACAAGAGCGAGTTCCAGGACAGCCTCCAAAACAATACAGAGAAACCCTGTCAGAAGAGTAAACGCATGAACGCATGTATGCTCACTCAGACCCAGGATATAATGCTCGCCCCCCTGCCCTGATGGCTCTTCTCCCTGCCTAGTGTATGGAACCCGGGTAAACTCTCACCGGCGCTGGGCCCACAGGCTGACTGCACTTAGAGAAGCCCTCCCTGAAGCCCCTCCCGCGTGGTTCCACGGCAGAGGGTCTCAACCTTCCCAACGCTCCTTTAACACAATCCCTCATGGCGCTCCTTTAACACAATCCCTCATGGCGTGGTGACCCTCAGCCGTAACGTTATTCGTTGCTCCTTCACAACTGCGATCTTGCTGCTGTTACGAACCCTGTGCGAACGTCTGCGTTTTCTGCTGGCCGTAGGCCGCCCCTGTGAAAGGGCCGTTTGTCCACCCAGAGGGCTCCAGATCCGCATATTGAGAACCGCTGTTCCAGACTGTTCTGCAGGGTCCTCCCAGAGTTTTACGGGCAGAACGGGAAACCTTGCGTAATCTGGTGGGGCTATTGGGTAGAAACGCAGAATCTCATCCTTTACGTCTCAGAATAAAGACGCAATTAGAGCTCAAGCGCTCAGGGAGGCACAGGCACCGGCAGCATCTACAATGGACGTGGCGGGTGGCGGGAGGGGCTTCCTGGAGGCTGCAGCGTTAAATGGGAGGGCCGAAGGCTGGGTGCGAAGAGTTGAAGGGTGTTAGAGGGAGCTGTGCGGAGTCCCTTGAAGGGAAGAGGTGAGGCTGCGGAAGGGAGAAGGGGGAACGCCAGCAACCGCAGGCCTCCTGCGGCCTGGGGAGGGGTGGGAGAGCAAACAGCTATCCTCAAGGCCACCCCGCCTGCGCCTTGGTCTGTCCGGTGCTCGCCTGTGTCCCTGGGTTACCTACCTCCACGCCTCTCATTTTTCTCTTCCCTACGGATTTACAAGAGATGGTCTACTACTGGAGCCCAGGCTAGCTCTGAACTCCCAGTCTGGCCTTCACCTCCTGCGTGCCGCGATGGGACACCACGCTTGCTAGCTTGTCTCGTGAATGCTCTTCTTGTGTTCTGTACCGGTGGGGGCGCAGGGGGTGTGCGTGTGTTTGAACCTGGGACCTCATTTGTGCGAGGCAACCTTCCCCTCCAGTTTGCTTTGCTTTTAAGGCAGCGAAGACCCGAGGGCCTCTCTCTCCTTACCCAAACAGGCCTCAGCTGGGCTAGCCTTTCGCAGCTAAACGTGGCTTCCCGGGAGGCCTGCGCTGCTGATCACTCTTTCGGGTGGTGGGGACGAGCAGAGCCGGTTTGCCTTCAGCCGAGGCCGGGTGAGCGGTTGCCACCCCGCTCCCGGAGCGTCTTTCCACAGCGCTGCCCATGCCCTCGGGAGAAGGGGGCGCTCGTCAAAGTCGGTGAGGTTTTGGGGGTTTTGTTTTTGGTTTTTGTTTTTTTATGGGCTACTGGGGCAGGTAGAGACCCCGAGGAAGCGCGGGCCGGCGGGTTGCCAGGAGGCCGCCTGCAGCGGCAGCCGCCGCCCCTCTTCTCTCTGGGTGACTCCCCACCCCTCGGGGGAGCGGCGGCGGCGGCGGCGGCGGTGGGGGCTGGGGCCGGGCCTGGCGTCCGGGAACAGCTGCGGGCGGGCGCCGGGCCCGTGTGGAATGCGGGAGCAGGCTGCGCACCAGGACTTTTATGGAAACTTGCTGCTGGCGCGCCGCGGCCGGACGCTCGCACGCTCGCTCGCTCGGGACGGACGGCTGGGGACGGCTGGGGACGGCTGGGGCGGCGCGCAGACACCGGACGCGCAGCGCGGAGCGGGAGGAGCGGCGTGGACCCCGGCGACAGGCGGGTAGGAGGGCTGGGTGGGCCGGCCACGGCGGGGATCGGGGCCGCGGGGAGCCCCGGGGCCTCGGCTGCGGGTGGGGCCCTTGCCAGGCCCTGGCGCGTCCGCTCCACCTGCGCCGGCACGGCTGAGCGTGGGGGAGAGAACGGTCCCAGGTGGCCCAGTGCGTGTCCATCCTCCGCCGGGGACCCTCGGGGTCCCGGCGGGTGAGTTCGCCGTGGCAACCAGCACGTGCCCGCCGCGGTCTCCGCCAGCAGTGGCTGTGGTTTTTGAAGAAATTGCTGATGGGTCCCCGTGGAAATCTGGGGAACGAGGGATTTATTGCCTGCCATCCCCGGTCTCCAAATGGGTCCCCATCGCCAAGACTGGGATGCGCGTGGAGGCTGAGCCGCTGGCTCTAGAAGTCGGAGGGAAGACACGGTGCGAATAAATGGTCAGAGGTTCGAATGCAATGTATGCATATGTACGCGGATGTACACGCTTACATACACATACATATATGCATACACACGCGCAAGTGCGTGAGAGAGTGAGTGAAAAACTATCGAGCTGAGAGATTGGGTGATTTCTCAGTGGCTTTGAGATAGGCGTTTTATTTTTAAGGCCACAGTGCGGACCAGGAGTTGAGCGTAGATAATGTAGTAAAAATAGCTTATGGTACGCCCTCACAAAGTGACTGACTGCCCTTGGAAAAAGTCAGGCAGGCAGGGAAAAGAAGCCACGGGCCAGCCCTCGGACCAAAGTGACGGGGGTGCCATTCATCAGCCACATTCTGGTAATGAGTTTATACCACAGGGGCCCATTGCGCAGAACGTATGTCTCAAAAACACGAACTCGGGATATCAGATCCGCTTGGCCACACGAAATTGAGCGAGTTATATAAAAATCTCCCCAACATTACTCTTTTATAGGTTAAACTGCTGCTGTGAGAGAATTCAGAGTGCACCTCCGATTTTGTTTCCGAGTGGGGGTGTTGGGATGGGGGAAGTGCATAGTTTACTGAAGGGAGTCTTCTGTTGGGGCGGGGATGAGCTTGTAGTATGAACAGGCTGTGGACGGACTTGGTTCCTGATGGGCAAGCCCTTTTACCGCCGAGTTCTTTCATGTCCCTCTTTTTGTTTTTAAGACAGGATCTCTTTTTGTTTGTTTTTCGAGACAGGCTTTCTCTGTGGCTTTGGAGAGTGTCCTGGAACTAGTTCTTGTAGACCAGGCTGGTCTCTAACTCACTGAGATCCACCTGCCTCTGCCTCCCCAATGCTGGGGTTAATTAGAGACAGGATCTTACTAGGTTGTCCAGCCTAGCCTTGGACTCTGTATTACAGGCGGTAGGTGCTGCGATCCCTGTCTCAGCCTTCAGGGTGATTGGAATTAAAGGCCTGTGTAGCTTCAGGCCCAGCTCCGTATTCTGTCTCTTGCCTGACGCTCCTGAGGGATCATTAAGAGAAATGTGTGCAATTCTAAATTTTACCTGCGACAGTTGACCTAGAGAGCACAATGCATTTGCTGCATCGAGATGGTTGTAAATCTAGTTTTCCTCCTAGCAGCTCTTGGTGCAACGCAGTTTTAATAGATTTCATAGATTTCCTAGTGACGCTGAGTGGGGAGCAGTTTTTTTCCTGCTTACCTTAAAATGGGCTCCGTGCTATTTTAGAAATTCTGACATACAAGGCTGATCACTGTCAAAATGTATGTCATCTTGAGAAGACTATATTTAGCATCAGCCAAGGAATGCATTATCTAGGCTTTGAACAGTGCTTTGCCCTGGAATCTCATTTGAAGCATTTAGGTTAGGGCTTCCTTTGTGAACAACATGGAAACCGTGTGTGTGTGTGTGTGTGTGTGTGTGTGTGTGTGTGTGTGCGCGCGCGCGCGCGCGCGCGCGCGAGCATTTGGGAGAGGTTACCTGGAGGTTTAGTTCACATAGAGCTAGGTGTCTGAAGTGACAGGCTCCATGTGTGGGGAGAAAAGCTCTGTTATCTTTGAAAACCCTAAAAGAAGAAAAAGTCCGTGGAGACTGTCAGTTATGGATGCCCAAAAGCATGAAGACAGGGCGACCATGAAACAATGGAGCATGTGACATGCATCCACCTGTGTTCATTGCAGTCTCTTGGCGTCTGTGGCGCTGTGGCACCACAGCGCCATACACAGTCTTCGTTCCCTTTGTAATCCCGAGGGGGATGACTTGCTACCTACCAACAAGTGTGTGTTTCTGTTCATGGTTGACCTCTCTGGTCCATGTCACTTGGGTAGTGTCTTTCATGGGGCCTTTCTTCTGGTTTCACTCGCTACCTAGTCCACACACTTGAAATTGCTGCTTTTTAAATTTAAATATCCTCTGTGTAGTGTGGCGTATTTTATGGTAGTGTGTTTTTGATTCCGTGTGTGTGTGTGTGTGTGTGTGTGTGTGTGTGTGTGTGTGTGTGCCCTGTGTGCATGCAGTGCCCACCAAGGCCAGGAGAGGGCACCAAAACTCCTGGGCCTGATGCTCTGTAGGATCAGCAGGAGCTCTGACTGCTGAGCCATCTCTGCTGCTCCTGGTAGGGTGCATTCTGGTGCATTCTGGGAACGGTGATATTCTGGGACTAGAAATCGGTGCCTTGAACATCCCTGGCCTCTTCCTGGCTGTTGCCTGTGGCAGTGTGCTTTCTACCCTCTAAAAATGGGTGGACTTAAACTTACGTTGACTATACATCATGATTTGTATAAAAAAATAGTAGATGCATGCACACACACACAGACACACACATTGAAAACAATGAGGAAATCAGGGCATGGTGGCACACGCCTTCAGTCCCAGCACTCAAGAGGCAGAGGCAGGTGGATCTCTGAATTTGAGGTCAGACTGGTCTATATATTAAGTTCTAGGATAGAGAGACATTGCCTCAAAAAAAATCCTTCTTAGGTAGTGTTGGGGAATGGGGAGTGGCAGTTAACTCTGGGTCAGTTTGTCTCCCGGAGAGGACATAGCCATGAACCCATAGCTAAAACCAATCAAATGATTCTGACTGTGGAGTTTAGAGAGCACAGGAAGAGGTTTCGGTAAGGAGCCTTCCTAGGACCTCCAGTCCTGGCTCTGTGTGTCGTCCGGAGAGTTTTCTGTGGCCTCTAGAGCCTGCTCATGGTCTCAGCTCTGCTCACTCGACACGCCTGCAGTCAGTCGCCTGAGAGGAAAGCCTAGACGAGATTGGTCTGTGGGGTTGTCTGTGGTAATTATCTTGACCCCTGATGCAGGAGGGCCCATCGTGTGGGCAGCACCCTCCTTAGGAGGTGACCCTGGGCTGTTTAGGAAAGCTCGTAGCTAAGCCCAAGCCCTTGGTTGCTCCTGCCCTGACTTCCCTCAGTGAGGCTTTGTGAGCCCGACTGGAAGCCATGTGAACCGAGTCGTTGTCAGTGACAGAATGACTCTGAAATGGCCATGGAAAGGAATCACTTAGTGTCCTACCTTGCTGCCCCACTGACTTGTTAGCCAGAGTCCCACGTCTCCCCGCACAAACCGTGGCCTCAGAGAAGACTGTCTTCCATTTTAGCTAGGGATAGGATGCCCAGACCTCCCCAGCAGTCACCCCAGCTCCTGGATTTCCTGAGGGCAATTTCCTGCCCCGGTTTCTGATTGTGATGTTTCTGTTGCGTATAATAAGCCTACCCCACTTTCTGTCCCGTTATCTTAGGGGAGTGGTTATCCCGAGGCTCCTTTGACAGATTACTCATGTCTTGTGGAGGCTGCTTGTGGATCTGTGCTTGTCCTGTTACCTCCATCCTCCGGTTCCCTTGCTCAAGTATGACATGAGCTTGTCCTGTGTCCTGCATGGTGTGGAAAACACTAACAGCACTGACAGGCATGACAGGTTTACTTGCCAGGGCTCCAGAGTGGTAAATACACTTTTGAAAAGTTTCACAACCACGTAAAGGCAGAATGTTATAAAGTTGTTACAGGAGAATGTCAAGGTAGGCTGCAAATTAGTTTTGGGGTTTTTTTTCCCCCAGACATCTCACAATTTTACAGTGTGCCCTAATTCACATTAGCTGACAACTGGATGGCCTGGAGTCACCTGGGAAGAGGTTCAGTTCTGTTCCCATCACACTGTCCTGTGGCTGTGGCTGTGTGAGATTCTCTTAGTTGACACAGGAGGACCCAGGTTGTCCTGGGCCATATAAAGAAGCTTCTGTGAGCAAGTGACAGCCGGAGATGAGGTGGCAGCCATGTTCCTCCTGTCCTGCTCCAGTCCCTGCCCTAATTCTCTTTGGTGACAGTGACCCAGAGTGTAAGCTAAGTAAAGTCTTTTCCCTCCCGCACTGTTCTTGGTCAGTGTTTTATCGCAGAAACAGAAGGACGTGGGAATGGTGAGGTCTGATTTCCTCCTTCTGAGCTGTGGTGGAGTAGATGCAGGTCTTATCGTGTGTTTTCATTGCACTTCTACTTGGTCTTTTACCAAGATAGGGTCTTGGCTATTGGTCCTAGCTGGCCTTGAACTCGGGCTTTTGAGTGCTGAGCAGGGCACGCACCGTTCCACCCGTTTGTCATTTTTACTAGTTAAATATGATCCGGTTATATATTGAAGTTTCTTCTTCTCT